AAAAAAAAAAAAAAAAAAAAAAAAAAAAAAAAAAAAAAAAAAAAAAAAAAAAAAAAAAAAAAAAAAAAAAAAACAGAGACAGGCAGAAAGTCAGGCGATCAGCAAACAGCACAATGTGGGCATATCCAAAATCCCAAAACATAGATACAAGATATTTATGTTACAAGAACAGAAACCAGAATAGCAAGATACAAAATACAAGGCTTGATAAGTCAGGTTAGGGCACACTGCATGTTACTTCACAACTGGCTGAGTGTCCAATAGTTAGCATCATCAATTGTGGTTACATCATTGGAAAGTTGTTTATGTGGTGGTTTTGATATAATCTGTAATGGTATTTCTATGGGAGTATAAAGACGTTTATAATCTGTGGTTATTAGAATTTATTACCTTTATGATATTATCTACGGTAGCTAACGGAATCAATAATGAACATTTTCTATTGTGATCTTATACCAATGGTGTTTATTGCATTATCTATGGTGAGTATTATTGTGGTTTTGGTATTACCTTTGGTGTGTGTTGCCTTATGTATGATGCTTATCATTTGTTTTGGTTTTGCTATTATCTAGGGTGGTTAAAGAATAAGGTTATTATGATGGGCAAGGTGGCAATTGTTTATTGTCATATGGTTTTATGATGGTATCATTTATATTTATGATGATCATCTACTATTTACAGCAGCTTACGCAATAGTGGAATATTACATGGAACATTACAAACTTTGAGAAGAATTTCTGAAGTAAACTGATAATCAGGTAGATTACATACAAAATTCTATTTTGTAATCTTGCTTATTTTGTAATGTATAGGACTTATATGTTCAACTCAATAGAAAGAATTTCCAAAGAATGGCAAAAGAATATTTATAAAGGTAAATCTTAACTGTAAACATTTAATGTTGTTGTTGTTCCTCTTTCGGCTGCTCTCGTTAGGAGTCGCCACAGCAGATCATAGGTTCGCATATTTGATTTGGCACAGTTTTTTACACAGGAAATTTTTACACTTCCTGATGCAACCTTCCCCAATTTTTATCTGGGCTTGGATCCGGCACTGAGAGTGCAGTGTTGCATGCAACATCAGTGGCTGGGGTTGGTTCCCTGGACTGGAATCGAACCCGGGCTGCAGCAGTGAGGGCCTAACCACTAGTCCTCCAGGGACCCGTAACCATTTAATGTAAAATTGCTTAAAAATGTACAGGGTATACCAATGCTCACCAAATACACTAACATAAACACTCGTGTTATGCATTCAACATTATAAAAGAAACCTTATCACCTAAAGAATATCAGGGCAGTTCAAACTGCTTGGACCATTTTAAAAGTTGTTAAAAAGCAAAAGAGTTTTTAGTCTGCAACCATTTTTTAAATGGTTGTCTTGTTTAAACATTAACAAATACACCAAGTGACAAGGAAGACAAAATACACTGGGAGCAGGAGGGAGATTTAGTCTGCTGTGATTTTAAGCAGTGATCAGAATGCGATGTGTTCTCTGAACCTGTTGTTTTATTCAGCCAAGCATCCTTTAACAAACAGCAGAATATCAGTTACAGAGAAACAACAGTGTTTAAATCCTCAGCAGTTATTTACTAGGTTTTTTTTTTTCTTGCTTCATGCAAGTGTAACTCTCTAAATGTGTTTATTTGTGTGTGAGAGAAAGAGCACAAAATGACTGATGGAAAATAATAACAAATAAAAAGACAAGAGACAATGAGAGAAGATAGAAATAGATGTAATTTATATCCTGCCTTCTATTCTCTTTTCCTCACTAATGGACTTACAAGACAAAAAAGCTCAGTCAAGCTTTTCAAATATGCTGACGACACCAGCATTACTAAGCTAATTTCAGGAAATGGTGACTTGTCATAACAGGAGATTGTCTAGTGCTTTATTATATTGTGGAGACAATGATCTCAGTACTCTAAAAATGATAAACTAAAAATGATAAACTAAGCTAAATAAAATCACAACAAGTTAGTATTTTCACATCATTCAGTTACAAGTAAGCAAAAGACATACAGTAGGGTCCAAAAGAGACTACATTGAAATTTATTATTATTATTATTATTATTATTATTATTATTATTATTATTATTATTATTTTAATTTAAAACTGGAAATAAACAGAAGGTTTTAGAATTTTGAAAATTCTAAAACAAAAACAAAAAAACAGAAATGTCTATATCAGATTTTGATATCAGATATCTTGAAAATATCAGATTTTCCATGAGTCTTATCCCTTCCACTGAAGCATGTGTTCAGATGACATGCAGATGGATTTGATCTAACATGGATCATCAGGTTTTACACAAACTTGTGGAGTCTGTGTCAGCTGAAGTACACACGGTCATTAAAGCAAAAATGGGATAATATCATTTGTAATGAAAACCGTTGTGTTAAATTGCAAAAGAATGCCAAACAGAAGCATTTTCACTAGTTACCTCAGACTTTTGGACCCTACTGTACATACAGAATACATACTGTTATGATAATATCTTTCTGAAGATACTATATTGAACAGTTGATCATGTTACGCCACTTGAGGGCCCTCAACTGATTGAAGTTGGTTGAGTACACCTAAGCTAAATACATTTAACATTTAATTTACTGTAACTTCATATGGCTCTTTTTTATATCATACTGGATTATATATATATATATATATATATATATATATATATATATATATATATATATATATATATATATATATATATATATATATATATATATATATATATATATATAT